TCTTTCTCTTTCTCTTTTCGCCTCCATTGTCGTTGCATCTCCGTTTCAAGACCGCAACTGTCCTTCTCTCATCTATTTAGAAAGATACTAGAGGCAAGCAGAGAAAGATACCAGAGCCGAGGCAACTTAAGTGTATTGGCAGTTGTGTCCACCTTTTATTTTCATCCAATCGAGCGACGAGGACCTTTAAGGATCACTCCGTTGGAAAGCAGTGGTAGAGTGCTCTTCGAACCGAACCGTTTCTGGTTTTTTTCGGAGACTCGACTCGATCAAAGCCGGCTCGGCTCGACTCGGCTCCTAAACGCCTGCCTCTCGCTCGTTTTAAATCAGCGTGAAGAGAAGCTAGATCCTTGCGAATGTATATATATATATATATATCGAATACGTACGTAACGCAAGTAAAGGTACAAGGTGTCCTGTGACTGGTGGTACAATCGAGTAGGTCAAGAATGGCCAAACTTTTGTGCTCTACAAGCTTCGACGTGTTACTAAATTATTTTAACAACGAAAACATGTAAGAAGGACATTAGGACTAATAAACAATAACGATAACATTTTACTCCAAATAACTTGCTCTGTGTACCAGCAGAAATTATAAGTTGCGCTGCTGTAACGCACGCGTTACCATTTTTCAAGAGTGATAAACTAAACTATGACAGTTTTTTGGACAAGTTTTACCTTCGTGATGTATAAGTACAATACAATGCAAAAAGAAAAAGAAAAAAAATTTTCGAGCCTGAAATTCAAAGTCAAGATTAATTTTGCGGCAGGTTCTTTACACGTCTATTTCCATCAAATCGAAGGTGTGGAATTCATCTACGACGGACATGACTTTTGTATATATGTATATATGTACCAGGATCCTGTCGTCGAAAACGAAAAATTTTCAGCGAAAAATTTTCTTCGTTCGTATGGCGAACGATCTTCCGAGACGATGGTGGTTACGTATGGCTATAACGAGGAGGCTGAAACGCTGTTCAGTTGTACCGGGAAATTCATTATTCTCGATTCATGGTCCGAACCAAGTGGATCATCGCTGCCCCCTCCCCCCACCTGCCGCCCCACCGCCTGACGCGATGGCATTACGGTTTTCGAGCAAGCCAGCCTGTATGGAGGACCATCGAACAAATGGTCCACTTTGTTATCGTCGTCGATGCTCTGGTTTTCACGGCAGAAGACCAGAAGCGGTACGGTACGGTACGCGCGGCGCGAGCAGTTTCCATTAATTTTTTCCAGCATTAGAATCGAGCCGAGCTGTTGGCGCGTCGCGCGTCCTCTCTGTAAATCAACACCAGGGCCCTCGAAAACGCGCACACGCGGACCAACAACACGCGGCCGCGTGCGTGTGA